AGAGAGAGAGAGAGAGAGAGAGAGAGAGAGAGAGAGAGAGAGAGAGAGAGAGCAGTGTTTGTTCTTTCAAATGGGGTTGGGGAGAACAGCCGTATCTTTGTGAGCTGCCTTCACTTCCCTGAGTCATTAGAGAAACCCTTGTAGGGGCTGAAGCAACCCTCACAGTCTCCGTCTCGAGTCTGATCTTTCTGTCTCAGTTTGCAGACTTATGCCAGTCTGTCTGCAGCAGCAATTTTTGATAGCCTGGTAGAGCATGGGCAGAGCCGCAGGAAACCCACTCCTTGGTCTTCCTGCTACATGGGTTCATACCCATGTCTTTATGAACGTTTCCTCAACTCCGAGGTTATGTTTATGTAGCAGGCTGTGGACACGGTTATCCTTGGAATCTATTTCAGTTGTGAAGTTTCCAGAATACCCCATTAGTACTTATTGGGTTTTGTGATCTTATATTCTCTCCCTCCAATCCAAACATTGAAACATATTTTAATGATGGAAAGACTACTCCAGCAGTGGGGGTCCCAGAGTTGAGACCAGTGAGATCAAAGTGATCATTTTGTTCAAGGACTTTGGTTATTCTGTGGATGGGTTTGGATTTCCGAAATTTATCCCATGGTCCCTAATTTTTTACTAAGTTTTTACCACAAGTCTTTTTGTTCCTGATTTCATGTAGAATTAGACATCTGGAAGGGATTTACAATGTGTCCTTCATTCAGATCCTTTATTAATGATGATCAGTAAGTGTGGAATTCACATGTCCTTCATCCACATTCCCTTCTGAATGAAGATCAGCAGGTGTGGGGTTCACAACATGTCCTTCATCCACATCTCTTATGAATGAAGATCAGCAGGTGTGGGGTTCACAACATGTCCTTCATCCATATCCCTTATGAATGAAGATCACATCCCTTATGAATGAAGATCAGTAGGTGTGGGACTCACAACATGTCCTTCATCTACATCCTTTATGAATGAAAATCAGCAGGTGTAGTCAACTGGAGGCAAAGGCATACATCCACCTTCTCCTTGTCTGCTATTTGCTGGTCTCAGTGTCTAGAAAAAATCCTGAGGTTTGCAAATACCCAGTCTTATGTATTTTCCCCATCTGCCACTTTTAGCAGACTTCAGTTGTCCTACCTCCTTCCTAAAATGAATGAACTGATTTGTCCCCACACAGTCGTGCTTGAGCATTGACAGTCACCCCTTTAGGAAATCTCCACTGGAGTCATCTGTTGCCTCCCCTCCCCTGCTATAATCTCTGTAGAGTGAGGGTGGCTCTGGGGTCTTCAATTCCCCTACCATTGTTTCCTGAGTGCCTGGCATAACCCTTGGTAGTTGCAGCCACTCAATAAACATCCCAGAATAACTCCCATTATTTCTTCTTCCCAAATGTCTTTCCCAATCTTCCTAGAACATCTCCAACTCTCAAGAATTAAGGAGGTGTCAGTATTTTTATTGGCACCAGGTAAACCTTCCCATCTTTTCTCTTCAGCTTCTGTGTTAACGTCTGCATCCAGAGCAAGCATCGAGCTCGCTGGTGGTCCTAGACTGAGCACATTGTCCCTGTTCTTTCTGAGGCTGGTTAAGACCACTGCCTCAAATCATCCAAAGCTTCTTCTGAATGAAATAACACATGAAAGATGTCCCCCCTTGTTCGTGTAGTCCACCAGACCCTTACCTGCATGCAGTTGGTCATCTGGAGTTGTCTTGCGCTGACCATGGCAGGTGACATCATCCACCTTCATAATGTATTCTTGTGCTTGAAGTTTTGTTTTCCAGGGTCTATAACCTTGGCATTGCTCTTCTGGGACATTTCTGTAAATCTGAGCTGGGAAGTATTTTAGAGTACAGGTTCCTCTTGAAGAGTTCAGCAGGCCGTCTTGTAGCGAAGAATCAGCTACAATGGGAAGTAGAGTGCCAGCCCAAAGGACATAAAAGAGGGTACAGCAACCAATATAACTATAAGGGATGTGTGTATGTGTGTATGCATGTTATGACCAAGACTCACCTTTTCCATATACTCTTGAAGCACATCAACTTGTGAAGCTGGTGGAGCTAGCCCTTCAAGAGATGTCTAAATAGTGGACTATGGGACCAGTCTTATCATCAAAGAAAGTCACAGTTGCCTTTCTCTCCTTCTTGCAACAAAGCAGAGAGCTAGGTCTTTTAGCCCATCACTTTTCCACTGAGTCTCCTTCCTCAGAAGTGAAAACTTTTCTATAATTTGATGTGATGCCACAGAACTAGCTCCTAGAAGACTCTACCACCAAAAATTTGTCTCCAGATAACTCTAGGGATTCAAGGGCCCAAACTAAGTCAGAAACAAGTCAGTTCTTGCTAAAGGGAACGCCTGTGCTCTCAAAAAAAAAAAAATGAAGCTACAAAGCACTAAAATTTTTTGAACATAACCAGTCTCCCCACAGAAATAACAGAAGCAGGAGGCCCTGGGTAAGAAGATAAGGTGTGTGTTCGGTGAGAAATGTTCCCCATAAGTGCAAGTATTTGAACACTTGGTTCCCAGTTGGTGGTGCTGTGGGGAGATGTTTAGGAGGCATGGCCTTGCTGAAGAAAGTATGTCACTAGGGGTGGGCTTTGAGAGCTTAAAGCCTTGCCACATTTTCAGTCTTCCCTCTCTGCTTCATGCTTGCAGATAAAGATGCAAGCTCTCAGCGTCTTGCTCCTGCCATTATGTCTGCCATTTACTGCCATGTCTTTGCCCTTGCCATAGTGGATTCTTATCTCTCTGGAGCCGTAAGACAAAATAAACTCTTCTATAAGTTATTTCTGGTCATGTGTTGTATCACCACAACATAAAGGTAAGTAATATATCATGGAACAGTGGTGCATATGAGCAGTGCCTTAGGCTTCCCCTGCTCCTCATAAGCCTTGCCCCTAGTCACATCCCCGTTCTCTATGATTGTCCCCCATGCCTGCATGAACCTAGAACACTCCTTCTCAGAGTTCAGCCATAGTTTAGTTCATCTATGATCATTTCTATCAGAATTTTTTTCAGATATTAATTTTAGAGTTTAGTCAATAGACTTTTTTAAAAGTCTTTTTCAAAGCTTGATTTACATGTTTACATTTTAATTACATGTTTACATGGTGGCACGTGCATGTTTGCATGGTGGCTGCAGAAGCCAAAAGTCAGTGCTAGATGCCCTAGAGCTAGAGTCACAGCAGTTGTGAGCCATTGGATAAGGGTGCTAGAAGCTGAATTCAGGTCCTTCTCCAAAGTAGTAAAGGCTTTTAACCACTGAGCCATCTCTCCAGCGCTGCAAGACTTTCTAAGCCTACCAGACCATGCAGGGGGTCACTGAATTCCTCTGCCTCTCCCTTTCCTGTCCTTTTCGACAATCTGATTTAAAAAAAAAAAAAAGTAAGAGAAAAGGAAGAACATGGGAAGGGGAAAAGCAAAAGGGTACAGGGAACAGAGACGCGGTGACTCCCAGGACTGTGTGTGTGGCTTTGGTTGGAAGCATCACCTCAGCCCCCTGGTACACCTTTATACAAAGAGTCTGGAATGTTTAGTTGAGGGCTTCACCCCAGCCCCTGGCATCCATTTTGAAATGTTGGCCGGAAAACTCCATTTCAAGCCACCTCCTCTGGGAGTTGCCTCAATCCAAACTCCACCTCCGAGAAAGTCCGCCAAATGATGACCCCTCCCTAGGGAAGGTCAAGACCACGCCCACAGGCTCTTTAAACTGTACCCCAGAGAACGAACACGTGGTCTCCCCTTTTCCCTCTCCAGTGATCAGTTCGGTTCTCCTTTCCCCTCTGTTTTCCCAGGGAGCTACCCTGGAGCACTAGCATCCATTAAACCTGGTCATCTTCTAATTCGGACTAATTTGGTCTAATTTGGATTATTGCATTGGCAGAGAGGTTTGCTGTTTCAGAGAAACTTAACATGGAGCATTGTGGGAGCTGAGATGGTCAGTGAGCTAAGCGCTGGAAACTAACAACGCAGCTCCTGCCTCCTCAGTAGTTGGGGACTGAGACAACAATCCTGGCCAAAGATGAGGCCTAAGGGGAGCTCAGAACCCTGGCCACTAAGGATAGGGAGCTGCTGTGGCTGCTTGGATGTGGTGCCCTGCCATAGTCATCTTTAAGTCTGTTCTACTGTGGACTCATTCTGCAATCATAGAGCGAGGGCGGGGAAGGGGGGAGCCTGTCACAAGTCTAGCGGCCTGGACTTCTATTCCAGAGTTCCATCTGAATCCTCTCCAGTCTCGACACAGTGGAAAGATGACTTCCTCCGGTCATGAGCACCTTTCTCACCAACCCTATGGCTATGGTAGATAGGTGACCTTGTGTTTCAAGAAAAAAAAAAAAAAAAAAAAAAAAGAGCAGAAATTCGGCCTGGTTGGTATTGGCATTCAGGCATTAAGCTGGTCTGCCCTTAGGGACCTAGCAGAATACTCACCAACAACCACTCCTACACATGTGCTTGCTAGTATTTCAGGCATCACGCTATCCTGCCCCCAGGATCCTCAGCTGTAGCCACTAAGAGCATCCCCTGTGCACATGCATTGTCAGTGTTTAGGCAGATACCTGGCCAACCCAGGGTCCTACAACCACTATGTCACCTCGTAGTCTATGCGCATGTGCGAAGTTGCTGTGTAGTCTCCGAGCGCATGTGCTAATCCCCCTTTAGAAGCGAGCTCTGTCTGTTCCCCTCTTTCCTGCTGCTCCTCCAAAATGGCAGGAAGGCAGGTATTACTTTGCATCTCTCCCTTTGCAGTTCCGCCCCCCCCCCCCTTCTCCCTTTGTCCCAATAACCCTCCAACGTAAGAGTTTGTTGGACTGTGAGAAGTAACTTTGGTATCAAAGAACTCAGCAAGTCCTACCCACTGGCATTCTGAGCATGCCAGGACCCTGTAACCCAGTCCACTTGGGACAGCTTCACTTTTCCAACTAACACTGAGTCATACACCCAACACCAGTAGAATCCATACGTTTCCTTTCTCATGAACGGTTCCCTGGATCTGTGGGAGCGACCATTGAGCATCGGGCACCTCTCTGGTATTCTTGGAGGCAGAGAAACTCTTAACAAGAGTATTGAAAGCTATAGTTAACCCTCTTGGCCAACACTCACCTCTGGCCCCTTCCCACGAGTGAAGCCTACTCTCTCAAGTGTAGTTTCTCACTTTGGCCCCATCAGGCCCTGGTACCAGGCAACCACTGTTTTCTTATGCGCAGGAGAGCCTTTGCCTACTTAATCCAGTCCTCTCTGAATTCCTGGGATGCTAGGAATTGCAGATCCTTGCACCTTATTTCTCTACCTCACTCACGGAACTGCGTCTTCCACTGTCCCTGCAGACACTATGCTGGGATACCTTTTGCAAAAAGGGCTTCTAAACTCAACCACCTTTGCGGTCAGATCTGACCCAAATACCCCTTAGATATTAATTCAAATGGCCGCTTCCTGGCGGCATCCTATATCCTGATATTTTACCGGACCTTCGAAGCATTCTGCCGGCGATCCGATAGATGGAAGAAGGTACCCTCTTTCTCTTATCTTCGTTTCAAGCCCTCTCTCTGTCCTTTCTTCCTGTTCTTCTACTCGGCTCCTGCTAGCTATGAAGCCTGTTAAGCTGCATTTCCCCCTTTCATTAAGTGAACTCTCTCAAATAGAGAAAAGAAACTGGGGTCTTGTACGTCTAACTCTGCTGCTTTCATGAAAGCATTCTGATGGGAGCCTGCCTCTGCTGCCAAAGCAGTTAAATGTCGCTAGGTCCCTTTCCACCATCAGCTATAAAACGTGCACCCATTAAAAGTGCCCGCCAGGCAGAGCTCAGCGCTCATTCTCTTTGCCTCATCTCTTGCCTCTTACTCTTTTCTTTGTCTCTATCTTTTCTCTCTTGCCTATACTTCTCTCTCTTCTCTTCTTCCCCTTGTCTGCCTACCTCTCTCAAGTCCCCACTTTCACTCTTTTGCTCCCCCCCATAAACCTCTTGTACTAACTGTTGCATGTGGCATGTTCGTTTAATAGTATACCTTGGCAGGGCCTGCCAAAGATACCCACTTTATGCTGGGCCCCTACCTGCCTGCTCCATCCACAGCAGATCCACCTTCTTCCACCTGCAGCAAACCTGCTTTCTCATTCACCGACAACTTTGCCTTTCATTCAGTGCCAGCAATTGGGTACCTGGCAGGGCTACCTGCCGCTGACCATTACCCTAGATATGAGACTGACCTCAGTATTCCTTGGACCAAGCAGTCGGGGAACCGAGAAGGAATTCTCCACTTTCTTTTTCTTTGCTCCAAAACCTCCTTGTATCTATCTACCTTTTCTCCCTCTCTAAACATCCTGTCTAGGTCTGCTGCACATGAGAGTCAGAGATGGAGAAGTCAGCTTTATCTTGCCCAGTGCACATCAGTTTTCCCTTTCCATTAATTTATTCAACTCCTGTTTAAGATGTGTGGGTGTGCGCACGCGTGCATGCATACATGCGTGTGTATATGTATGTGACTTGGACTTAACTCTGTATGAGTATAAACTAAATTTAACTCTGTGTATATGTAACTTGGATTCAACTGTGTGTATATGTGCATGTAACTATTATTTAGAAAAACATGTTTTAAACAGCCACCATGTGACTCTTCTCCCTCTTGACTGGTGACCTCATTGTGAGGTAGGCAGCCACGTGGCTGACAGCCATTTTTTTTTTTAACTGAGGTTAAAGAGTATACTTCTTAGTCCTAGTGAGCACTGCTCATTGTATCTCCTTCAAGACTAAGGAAGCAACAAGTCTCAAGTATTTGAGATTGGTGTGGACTTTTGTATGATGATAAAAATATATCATTAGATCTGTTACAACATACTGTCTATGTGATTCAACTCTGGTTTAAAATATATTCTTATGTGGTGATAAAAATTGAAGGTTATGAAGATCTATTCAGATGAACAAAGCAACCTTAGAGATGTACACCTAAATATTTATGTCTTTGCCAAGTGATCAACACCAAGCTTCTAGGGAACTTAGATAAATATCAACGTATGTTTGATAAATAAGATATATATATATATATATCTTATTTATCTGCTCTTTTTCCCAGAGTTGGGCATTTGGACAGAGGCCCCCAGGGCCTGTAAAGGGCGGTGCTGGCATCCGTGTCCCCTCAGACCCTGCTCGTGGGCCACACTCACAAGCCCCCTTTCTCCTATTCCCATTTTTCTCTGGGGTCTTTTCTTTCCCTTTTTACTTTTTTTTGCCTTCTCAGGAGACAGCCTTAATAGCTTGGTACAAACTTGTTCTGTTTTGGCCCACAGAATAACTAGTTTCTTTACTGAACCCATTATCTCTGTTTAAAAGGCTTTATTTTGGTAGTAGAAAAATATTTAAAATCATTTTTAAGGCTAAACCTGACAAGGATGGAACACAAAGTCCTAGTCTTATGAAAGCTGCTAACATATTAAAGACTGTTAGGGAACACAAGTTAATAGTCGTCCTTATAAATGATTAGGTTCTTTAATTGTATTCATGCTAAGTACTGATATAATTAATTATAGGGATAAGCTTTACTTCGTTCCCTGAATATGTTTTCAAAGTTAAACTTAAAACAAGTAACTAGAAACAAAGTTTGTCTACTGAGATATACCTAGTAGACAGACACTTCTCAAATGCTCAGAGATCTACAGACTATAGCATTTAAAATGGTTAATTGAAAAACTTTTTATGATAGAGAAAGATGCCAGCCTCTGGCAGCACCCCTGTTTTCTCCAAAGAAAGATGGATGGTAACGTAAGAGCCTCCACCTGGAACTTGCTTCAAACGTGGCCATGCCAGCCACTGAGAAAAAACTGCCTTCCACCTCAACTGCTGCCAAGACCCTCTTCAGACCATGGTCAACAGGACACTGAGGAATCGATGGCCTCACCTTTGCCAAGACAGGCTATGCTGGTCCCACAAGTTTGTACTCCACAGGAAATTCTACCGGATCTCCTGGGCCTGGCAGTCGAAGACTGAGGCTGCGCTGAGACCTCTCCTCTAAATGACCATGGAGGACCCTGAGATAGCTGTCGAGGTAGCTAGCAAGTAGTTCTCTGTCATTTTTAATCACTAGCTCAGGCAAAACTTACCCTTCTCAGATCTCTGATGTTTGATGATTAGGCTAGTAGCTTTGTCAGTTTAACAGCAGGAGCCAGGGCTTCAGCTGCCTTTGCAGGTCTCTGTGTAAAATTCAGGTCCCAGGCCTCATTCTCCTAGAGCTAATATTAAGTCTAGACACAGTTCACCTTGCTGCCAGACTCAGGAAAAGATAAACGCACAAAACAGATTTCCGCGTAGCTCCTTCCCGTTCCTTTGTTTAAAGGAACTTGCTTTGCACTGACTGCTCCCAGTGGTCAGCCCCCTGGATCCCTGGGGAATTAGACAGAAGGTTTGTTTATGTGATGCTAGGAAAGTTTAAGCGGTGATAAGGAGAAAGTGATCTGAGGTCTATAAAAGAATAAAATGTTTCAGATTTCTTCTCCTCACTATGCTACTGTTATAGTAAGACACCAAAGACTCTTATAGTAGTTGATGGAATTCTGATAAGCTATTAATCTGGCTCCGGCAGAGTACTAAACACCATACTATCACTATACGATCATAGCCACAAGATCAGGGTTTGAAATTTCCTTTGGTTGTTTTCTAACTATAGACTTAGAAGGTACTTACTTTTCGCTGTGCTAAAAACATCTGTCACAGATGATAGAAAAAAGATAGAGATAGAAAAAAGACAGAGATAGAAAAAAGAAAAAAAAAAGAATGTTCTGGGTTCCCAATGACTCAAAGGCTTTTCTGTATGCTGCCTTTTTTTATAATGTGAATTTCAGTACAGAGTATAAACCATGGGAATGTTAATGTGCCGAAAACTTATCTTTTTGTGTTTTCAAAAACCTCTTGTGAGCTCCGGGGAGTAGATGTGGATCTACCTAGAACAGGTCGGATGCACTGTTAGATGTTTCCCAGATAAAGCACTGACAATCAACTGCCTAAATTTCCCACCTCTTCCCTGGTCTTGGGACTCCTCTTCCTCAACTATCAGGACCTAAGAAAACAACTTTTCACCTAAACTTTATCTTCTGCTCTGCTAACATCTTGCCAGGTCCACGAGGCACCAGACCATCCCCCAGAATCTGGACAGCAAAGTGAAACAACCAGTTATCTCAGGACCTGGCCAACATGTCAGCTTTCTCAGGTCCCCCAAAATGTTATACCCCCAGGTCAACAGGAAGCAGTTTCAAGAACCTGGCACCCTCATTCCTGTCCCGCCTGCTACCCCCTTTAGCGCCTCACCTTTTTATAATAAACAGAAGGGAAGAGGAATGTTAGCCTTCAAGCATTCTGCTGGCCTGTCCCTTGGGGACCTGGCAGGGTGCTTCATCCCTGAGTGCATGCACTTGCCAGTACTCAGGCAGTACTCTGGTCTGCTCAGGGTCCTGACAACGGTCCTCCACTACATCGCTACGTAGTTCTGTACACATGCGCTAAGTACCGTCATAAAAGGAAGATCCTGCCCGCCTCCCGTCTCTCCTCTGCCGCTCTCAATCTCCTCCCTTTCTGTGCCCCTACCCCAATCAAGCCCCCACATGAGCTCTGTTGCATGGATGAGTCTCTCTCCCTCCACTTTTAAATTATAACATTAGGATTTCAGGTTCGAAGAGGTGGGGGTGGGTTTGCAGCTGTGTATGTTAAAGAAAACATCGCGGGAAGCTGTGGGTAGGACATTCTTAGTGACTGGATGAGTATCATCCCCTGAAGGCAATGGCAAGACACCCAGCCTGTAGAACCAGATGTGTGTGACCTGTAGATAGCGCTCTAGGCAGGAGGTGAGATAGAAAAACACAAAGGCCAACACCCAGAACTCCAGCAGGCCCGCTCCCGAACTTTTCTGAGCTGAGCCACAAAACAACTTCATATTAGTCCCTACCTCCACCAAGTCCCACCTGTATAAATAGCAGTGACGTATGACTTAGAGAAGCTTCCAGAACAGGGTGGGCCACAGGAATGATGCATTGTCCTTACCGGGCTTCATGGGCTTGAACGTGGGGCATGGAAGCCTTCAAATAAACAAGTGAGGAGTGGAAAGGGGAATTCATTGCACTCAAAGTTAGACTCAGGCCTAAGCCTGAGCGGGTCCAGTTTTAAGGCGTGTTAGAACATGCCTCTGCTCCATGGAAAGGAAGTAAATTCCTTCTGTTTGGAAAAAAAATGCAATATTTGCAGGCTACTCCCCACACGCTATTGTTTGTCCTGAGATAGACAAGTTAAAAGGCAGAAGATTGATTTTGCCTTCGGTTTCGGGGGTCAGTACATAGTTGGCGGGTGTCATTGCTCTCGGAACCCTGCTGAGTCCAGACAGCACTGTAGGAATGAATGGCAGAGGGAAGAAGCCAGCTCAATCCCCAACAGGTAGATAGACAGGAAAGGGGGCCAGTTCTAAATGGTAGAGCTAGCAATTTACACCTTTTCCTCACCCTCCAGACGAGACAGAGGCCTGGTAGACCTTTTCTTCTTCAACTGCCCCTCCCTACTTCTGAGTGTGTTCACCTACAGCTGTGTGCTAATCAGTTCTTCTTTCTTTGTCTAAATGGACCGGACCATTTGAAATAGGGGAGGGAACCCATCCCAGGCCACCAGAACCACGTAAAACCCCTCTCCAAGGGACTGATCTACAGGGACTATTTCTTTCTCTGAGCTTTGTTGCTTGTAAAGTTTATTATCTGTTGCTGCCTGCTGTACCAGAGGTTTCTCCTGCCTTTTCATCCTTTAACTGGCATAAAAAAGAAACCCCAAGACCCTCTAGACAATAGCTGACTCTTCTCTAGAGACCCCTAAAGCAATCTTGCCTTTCTTGTGGGTGTTTCTGAGTTGTCTTTGGGGCAGAGTCTAAAAGACAGGTGGTATCAGCAAACACGGAGCACAGAGAATTGGTCCAAAGCACACTTCCTCACTGCAGGAATTCTCAGAGCCTTTCATCGTCAGCAGACGCCATGACTCCCTAGAGCAAACCATTGTATGTGACCATGGTGGCTGACATGGACCGTCATCCTGATAGTATTTAGAATCACCATGGGAATCGGTGACACCTGTAAGGAATTTTCTAGATTATGTTCTTTGAGGTGTAACACCCATTTAAATATGACTGGCACTGTTCCATAGGCAAGGGAGCCAGGCGGGGTGAAGAGAGAAACATGAGCTGAGAACCAGCATTCAGCATTCTTTGCTTCCCGGCTGTGGGCACAATGTGACCCACCGGCACATACTGCCATACATTCCCTGTTGCGGCAGGCCGTAACCCCTTGAACCGGAAGCAAAATGTCACAACAGTGAGTGACTAATCCAGTGACATTTCAAATCTTGAGGACAGATCCCTTTGCTTTTTACTGTCCTCTGAAGATCCATTGAGGAAGGTTGTATGGGCTCTGATTTCTGCTCAAAGGTCTAAGGAGCATCAGAGCTGGGCCCTCTGGGAAACAGCAGTTGTTTCTACTTCCCGGCATTGTGCTCACCAGCATTTGGCCGATGACACTGGGCATAACAATGACAGGAATTTGTTAATAGTTGATAGAGTGAGACCATTGTTCTTGACCCGGTTTTGACATTCTTTCTCTCTGAATCACAGAAAAATGTAACTGCCCTCTGACCTGTATGATAATAAGAGTTCTGGAAACAATATATATATAAGCGTATGTGTGTACATATATATGTATATATATATATATATATATATATGTGTGTGTGTGTGTGTGTGTGTTTAATTTTTACAATTTAAGTGCTGGAGGTAATGGAAAGAACCTCATAGCAATACCTAATTCACTTAACTCTAAAGGAAACTATGTAACCAATTTCTACCAGATGGTTTTACGATTGTAACGTGTTACACTGAGACCCTTACTCAATAACCATTGGAATTATTTCATAGAGAGGCTCCAGTCATCCCAGGGTGTGGTAGCGTAAGAAAGCCCATCTTCATCCTGGTTACACAAAGCTGCCAGCCAAAGAGGGCTAAGCTTGGCTGGAAGGGAGCCAAAATGTTCATTTCTCTCTATCCATCTTGCCAGCAGGACTGCTAGCCTGTCCAGTTGCCTGCTGTCCCTCCACCCTTAACCCTTTCCTTCCAACTCTGAGGTGCCTTCCAGGTCCTTAGTTCAGAGAGCAGCTCAGCTGACCATTCTGCCACAGCTTCTAGCTTCAACATCCCATATGTGACACACCCTTTAAAATGAAAGAGGAATAAAATCAAATGTCACCTGTATAAGGTTGGTTGCAATCCAGGCATCTTCTTCCTCTTGCTTCTTTGGTCCCTCTGACTTTGTAATGAATGACTGATCTTTTATTAAACACTATGGTCTCACTGTGTCAGGCATAGGGCTATCTCTGAGCCGCAAGGTGTGCCTCTATGGGTCTGAATATAGAATGCCCTCCTTACCTGAGGTTTCAGTTACCTTTGGTCAGCAAAAACCTGAAAAATGCAAAGTTCCAGGAATAAGAGTCATAAGTTTCGATTGCACATTATTCTGAATAGTGTAATAAAATCTCAACCTACTCTACTGTGTTCCTTCTGGGCCATGAGTCATCCTTGTATCCAGTCTATCCATACTGTATTGTATGTACGTAGAGAGGAAATTACCTCTGTCTGTCAATAGTAAGAGACAGTGTGGGTATATTGGACTACCGTGGTTTCAGGCAGTCACTGAGACTATACAAAGTATTCCCTATGATTAAGGATTAACGAGCTGTAAAAAAAAAAGGGGGGAGGGGGGAAGTCAGTGAATCTGAGTTTTCAAGACCAGCTCTGAGTTCATTTGGTTGAGTTCTTTCGCCCTCTTCATCATCGTCATGACAACTAAATTAACTATTGACCTGTCTTGGAGAGGACCTCTGCCCATAGCTTCAGATGACCAGACCTCTTTGAAATGGGAAGATCATGGTGCCCTTGGGCTGCAGAGGACCAGCATGCCCGCCTTCTTCCAGCCACCATGGCATGCCCTCTGTGTCCAGACCCAGAGCAGAGCCATGTCAGGAGCTGGCATCTGCAAGTTTGAACAGGGCCAGCCTGGCAAAGGCCTGCAGACACCTGGTTTCAGTTGACAATCTCATATCACAGGTCAGGAAACAAAAGAATAATTCAGCTCTGGGGAAAACCTGCCAGACTTCCACACAGCAGTTTCCTTCTTGAAAACGCTTTTTTTTTCCATCACAGAAAAGAACTCAAAGGAAAATGAATAATTGCTAGGCTATTCAGAGCCTTTGGTCCCCTACAGACAGGGTTGCTCCTGCATGAATCCATTAATTTTCATTTCCAGAGTCTTCAAATGTAAAACAAATGTTTGATGTAATCTGCATTGCTGCTCTGTGCTAATTAACCACCACCTCCCACCTAATGCTGCAAACACTTCATCGATCAGTAATAAATTTGGTCCTTAGGAGATTGCCTTTACATTTGTTTGACTCATGGGAAAATGGCTGTAAGTATTTTCTGAGGGTTCTTGGCTGCTGCTCTCCCCCTGGCTATAATAAAGCAACTGATATTCCTGTGTTGCCTTCCTGTTTTCTCACTGGACAGGCGGGGGCTCAGTGCCCATATGCTTGAAGGTGAAGGGGAAGTGGGAAATTTCAAATTACTGATAAAATACATTCATGTCCAGGAACATGTCCTCACTATCCTGACCACAATTTATGAAGTGTCCTGTGTATTCTAGGAGGTAGTGCACTGATGAAGATGTGGGTCCTCCTGCAATTCAAAGAATGTCTTATATCATCCACTTTCCCTCTTCTGAGAGATAAGGTGGTTGGGTTCCTTCCAGACCTCATAACATAGAGTCTACAGCTCACACACAGCAAATGGGAGGGCCTGGGTAGCTTTCAAGCAGCCATTTCCCCATTGCTCAATTGTTGAGGCCACTGGACTGCCTTAAGTTGTGGGAGAATGCTCTTGGACACTGTAAAGATTTGTCACTTGTATTGGTTTAATAAAATGCTAATTGGCCAGTAGCCAGGCAGGAAATATAAGCAGAGCAACCAGACTAGGAGAATTCTGGGAAGAGGGAAGGCAGAGTAAGTCATCAGCCAGATGCAGGAAAAGACCGATAAGAATGTCTCACTGAGAAAAGGTACCAAGCCACGTGACTAAACATAGACAGAAATTATGGGTTAATTTAAGTTGTAAGAGCTAGTTAATAATAAGCCTGAGCTAACAGGAGAAACAGTTTATAATTAATGTAAGTCTCTACATGTTTCTTTGGGACAGAACGACTGCGGAACCAAGCAGGACAGAAGCATCTGTCTACAATAAGTAAACCAGGCCTTCCCAGGGGTCTACAGTGAGCCTGAGCTTAGTCAAGAACACATGGGCTGTTGATGTCCCATCACTCTGGTGTTTAGGCCCAACCGGCTCTGCTACAGCTGGATGGCAAGGCTCCTACCTGAGTTT